CATGAGAGGGTACGGTACAATCATAACGTTAAAAGGCTTGCTGACCAAGCGCTGACAAATATTATCAGACTTCAAACTGCAATGATTGAAATGTTTGCTAGGACAAGTGTCTTCCAGTGTGGCCCAACAGCTTCTGGATGTGTCTGTGCTTGTAGCCCAATTGTCCGCCTCCTCTTTTGTAAATCTGCTTGGTCATCTCGCCCGCTGCGCCAAAGCTTGTTGTGTGGACCAGCCGGGGCTTCATGAGGCCTCTAATCTTCGCGAGCCAATTGCTTTGTGGTTTTAGTCCAGACGAGCGCTGACTTACACCCAGCGCCACTTTACCGATGTGGTGGCGCTCGTGATGCCTTTCGTAGTTTAACTTGTAGTCTTCTTTGAATTGTCGCTGTATTTTTGAGAACTTTAAGTATGATTATATGATGCCGTGCGCATTTCTGTACCTAAGTCCTGCGCTTGAGTTTCATGGCATGACAGAAGCCTGGGGCAGGTATTCCCTGTGGAGGAAAGAAGAATGACTTTGTTTTGGCAGCTGCCCCAAAACACGAAGCTCAAATTCGAGGGCGACAAGAAAACGAGTAAGAATTGGAGCGTATGCTGCGATGACGCACACACTTGTACTTCTCGGAATGATAAAGCACAGTCCAACCCCCGACCACCTCGCAAGCCTGCATCAAGGTGGGCGCTGCCCTTCTCCGAGCCGAAAAGGAGAAGCGCGTTTACTACACCGGTTTCAACCATGGAAAAACTCTGATCGTCCCTGCGGCGATGACGACAACCGGTGGGTTCGCCTCCTCCTTTGTGGATCTGCTTGGTCAGCTCGCCCGCTGCGCCGAGGCCCGTGGTGTGTACCAGCCGGGGCTGGATGAGGCCTTTGTTCCTCAGTGGAAGGGTCGCTTTGCGGCGCTGGTCCATCAGATGAACGCTGACCACATCCAGCGCCACTTTGGCGGTGCCTGCCTGCGCTCGTCGTAGGTAGGCACCGTCTCGGGGGTCCCTCTGTGGGGATCCCTGTGTGCACCTGTCGCTCCCAGGGTGGTTCTCGTTGTGTCTGTTGATGGCTTGACTTGTATTTTTGTTTTAATTTTGCTTTAATTTTTGCTGTATTTTGTGGTATTTCTGCTGAATTTTTGTAAGGTCCTTTGTATGATGTCTTTGTCTTCTGTGGTCGGTTGTTTTCTCAATCCGACGTTGTGTCTCGTTGGATGTGAGCGTGCCGTGGTGTTCGTTGTGTTTGTGCGGATGGCTAT